CTGCTAGTACTGCTACTGCTGCTAGTACTGCTGGTACTGCTGCTACTGCTGCTATTACTGCTACTGCTGCTAGTATTGCTACTGCTGCTAGTACTGCTACTGCTGCTAGTACTGCTACTGCTGCTATTACTGCTACTGCTGTTGCTGCTGCCGCTGTTGCTGCAGCAATTGTTCAAATGAAAATGAAATAGGAAAAGAGAAAAGTTTTGAAAAAATTTAATTAAAACGATAATCTAATTAATTGCAGATTTGGTTGATTGTGTTGATAATTTGATATTGCGTGAAGCTAATTTGATTAAGCTGATAACAATATTAAACTTCGAAAAATTTGAGCATAAAAATGAAGAAAGCAAACAAATTGGTATATAACAGATATTTTGCTGATTATTTTATCATATGAAGCTAATTTAATTAAGCAAATAATATCAAATAGCATTAAAAATGATTTTCCTCTATTAAACAATAATTTTGTTTTGTAGAAATGTCTTTTGGAAATGGTTAATTAGGTCTTTTAATTAAGCAATCATAAAAATAATTCAACCAGTTAAGAAGTAATTAAAAAAGAAATGTAACTAATCATAAAGCTAATGCAGGCATACCAATGATTAATATTCTGCAAATACAATTTAAATGCCATCAAAAAGTATCACAATTAATTCTTCACTACCAAATACTTATTTTTTTTTTTTGTGAGAATATCTTTTAAAAATAGTTAAATTAAAGAGAATTGTTCATACTATGAAATAAAATGAAACAATCGTACTCTTTCTTTTCCTTGGTAATTCTCTTTTTTTTTTTTTCGATTAAACAATTCAATGTTTTGCTTTTCTTTTTCTTGCCAAGTTTTATTCAGCTATCATTTTTGTTGACGTCTGCCAAAAATGGTGACAGTTTTACGATACTATCATAAGTGTTGCCACATTTTTTCCGTAAAATCGGGAAAATTACTTTATTTCATTTTGTCGCAATCTTTTTATCAACTAAATGCTTTCATTGTCAACATTTTCCTCTTCTTCCTTCTTTTTTCATGCCTTATTTCCGTTTTATTTCTATTCATCCTATCCGTTTGCCGCTTCGCCTTTGCTTTCATATATATGATAAAGTGATAAGTGATAATAAAGGAAAACTTTAACGTTATAGTTTGAATTCTTAATTACTGGAGGAAAAATTACGATTATAAGTTTCAAATTTTGAAATTGAAAACTTAATCTTACCAGAGTGTAATCAGTTGTCATACTTTTATTCGGAAACTAACATATTGTATGATTACTGAGCTGATTTAGATATGAATATCAAAAAGCTGAGAAGGAAATATTTCGGTTTATTTGAATCAGAGAGTCATAATGGAAATATTTCAATTTATTAGCTATTTTAACTTTGAGATTTCAACGTGGATCAAATTTAACAGTTGAAATCATTTTTGCCACTAAATTCACCTAATATCTTTCTACAAAACAATTAAGTATTCGCATGAAGAGTTTGGAATTTGATGAAATTAAATTTGAGCAAAAATTGATGAAGAGATTTAGTTATGTCTAAAGATTTTATGACTAATTAATTTGAACTCTCATTTATAAAATTTTCTAATGATTTTTTGTTTTGAATGATGTAAAGTGCAGTTGAAGCAATTTGGGAATTCAAATCAAATTGTTGAAACTATCTATATTGTTACTCTTAGTTTCATTATACTTTCCTATTAGTTCCTCTTATTTAAGAATTTCAATAGGTAAGAAAATAAATCGAATTAATAACAATAATACAAGTGGAATTACTCTGGATTATATTTTTCTGTTAGTTCTTCATAATTAAGAGTTTTAATTAGAAAGCTTAACCATAAGTGATCTAGATGAACTGATAATAGAATGATATGACAACACAAAGTAATTCACTGAGATGTTAAGCTGTAAATTTCAAATTTTCTGAATTTTTTATAGTTAGATTTAGAGAAAATAACTCAGTCCTGCAGAATAACTATAGCTAGAAGCCATTTTATTTATGACTGATCAAATATCCAATGAAATATTGCCAATTAACAATTATCTCCTTAGTTGATGGAATGGTTCTGATAAAATAAAATGATTTCTTTTCTTAATTTTTTGTCAATCTAGGTGAAATGCAATTTCTGTTCTACACCAATATACAGGTTTTGTTGCAACAATTTGTAATACTTTCTTCTTTTCTGAAATTCAAAATTTAAAGAAGTTTTTTCTTCAAACTGACAATTCAATTTATTTCATACAGTTATCTTCTCATAATGCGAGTCGCTGTATAAGTAAGCAATGTTGTAAAACTTGTCAAGATTGACGTTCTTCTAATATCACCTTATTATCAGGTCGAACAATATGTAACAATTTCAAATTGACCAGAACTGAAAAGTATATACAAACAGTAATCTTGTTTTGAAAATCCGATCATTTAAAAATATCATTGGAAGTTAATTCTTGAAATTTCCTTGCTGTTGGATATTATAAGCAATATCAGCAGTAAATTTATCAACAAAGATGAGTCAATGACATCAAATTAGTTTTGAAAAGTTAAAATTGAATTCGGCAATGGTATTAAAAGATTTAAATTAATTTTGAGTGAAACAAATAAGTGGAAAATATTTTTCCCTGCACATCTGGACATGTAATAGCAGACGCAGGTATCGTTAAGAATTTAATTTAAACAATTCCAGTTTATATCATTTTTAAACATAATTAGAATTAATTCTAATATCTGTCATTTCGATGTGAATTAACTTTAAATACATTTTAAAAAATTAAATACGCACGAATATAAAAAAAGAGATTTGAAAAGAGCATATCTTTTAGCTTTCACGAATTCGTAGTTTGCTAAATGTAAAGGGAATCTGATCCAACCTTCATCAAATTTAAATCATTTTTCATTCGGCAACAGTCGGCACGGATGATAAACCAAAACTTAGTAATTTTAGCCCATCGCATTGGTTTCTTCGTGAAATCTTTTTTCCTGAAATAATTTTTGGACGAATAAGAAAAGAAGTGAACTGCATTAAGCATTTAATTAATTTAATATAAAGGATTTAGAGAAAATTTATTTTCTTTTACTTTCCTTTCGATACTATTACACATTTTTATTTCTGAAATAATTGTGAATATTATTCTAATTAGATAATTCTAATATATATGAATAAGTCTATTAAAAATATTTCATAAATTCCTTTTGACAACCGATATTGTGTAACAAACATTAATCATATCAGTATTAATACTTAGACCATTCAAGACTATTATTATTATTACTATTTTTATTATTATTTTTATTACTATTGTTATCATTATTATTATTATTATTATTATTATTATTATTATTATTATTATTATTATTATTATTATTATTATTATTATTATTATTATTATTATTATTATTATTATTATTATTATTATTATTATTATTATTATTATTATTATTATTATTATTATTATTATTATTATTATTATTATTATTATTATTATTATTATTATTATTATTATTATTATTATTATTATTATTATTATTATTATTATTATTATTATTATTATTATTATTATTATTATTATTATTATTATTATTATTATTATTATTATTATTATTATTATTATTATTATTATTATTATTATTATTATTATTATTATTATTA